TTTTTTTTTTTTTTTTTTTTTTTTTTTTTTTTTTTTACTTAATTATATTAATTACATCCATTTCAAAATATGCTTATCTTAGTGAAACAAATTAATTATGATTTAATAAATAAATAAAAAAATTAATTAATTAATTATAGACTATTTTATTATTTTAAAATCTTTGGGCCGAGAAATGGGCCTGAATTTTACAAGTCCATTGACTCCGGCCCATATCCACGTGACTTTTAATTTAAATATATATAAAAAAGATTGAAACATTTGATTTGTGTGTTTACATTTGACGGTCGGCTTTGAAGTCAATGGGTTAAGAAATTGGTGTAGTTTTGTTCAGATCAAGAATTCATAATAAACCAAGAAAAGGGCATCTGGATATTCCTTGGGGAGGGTGGTTATGTAGAGATAAAAGCGTGATACATCTTCCTTTGAAACCTTTTCAGCATCGACTACATCTTCATTTCCAGTTAGCACCCACAAGTCCTCTGATTTGATCCTCTTCAAGCTTCCCCGGCAAAACGGGCACGACTCCGATCTCGTGTTCCTGCAAAATCATTGGCAAGCAAAGACCTTGAAGCAATAGACTGTGGTAACATTTGATGATGATGTTAGGATGGTTGGTGTTTGTTACCAATTGTGGTAACATTTGATGCACATTGAATGGCAGCAGTTTGGCAGCACCATCTTTGTGGAAGGTTGTTCTAGGCAAATCCCACACTCATCTTCTCTCTCTAAATCACCATTGGACTGTTTTCCATCTCCTTCAACTCTTCTCTCACTCGAGTTATCCGACTTGACGTGCTTCGCTTTAGCATTATCCAACTCCTCCGCGCTCGCTTGGAGGCGTTGAAGGGATGGCAATATGATAGCTGAAGTAGGACGTTTGTTGCAAACAAAACAAGCTCATAACCTCAAATAATGCAGTATCGTTCCTTTTAATCAAGACTAATGGGAGAGTAAATGACCGTTGCCCAAGTCATATTGTCCACTTTGGCCCGTTACGTATTACCATCAGTCTCACGATTTTAAAACTCGTCTATTAGGGAGAGGTTTCCACACCCTTATAAGGAATGCTTCGTTCTCCTCTCCAACCGATGTGGGATCTCACAATCCACTTCTCTTGGGGGCACACCACCCGATGTCTGGCTCTGATACCATTTGTAACAGCTCAACCCCACCACTAGTAGATATGTTCGTTTTCACACCCAGGAATGCTTTGTTTCCCTCTCTTACCGATGTTGATCTCACATGTTCTACCAAGTTGATTTGTTACGGTAAACTTAGTTATATCTCTACGCTAACAAATACCGCAATAGGAGAGGCCTAATGATTTCAAACAAGAGGCATAGGGATGGGTTGGAACTTTTTTCAGAACAAAGTTTCAATGAAACCCCCTGCAAACAACCATAGTATAAATTATCTCCCTCTTGTTTTTAGTTGTGTTATAGCACTGACTCATGTTCTTCCTTCTATAATCATGGATATATGTAAAGCGTTTTAACTGCACTAATGGTAATGGTTTTTGCATAAGGCATTAGAGAACTATTTTGATAAACCAGGGCAGACAATTGGTAGGGAAAAATGTACCGTAAAATTCCTTCACAGTTGCCTTTCTTCCATGAGCTGATATGTTAGGCCTTCCATCTGTGTAAACCTGAGCAAAGAAAACGACACAGTTCATGCGACAGAACAAACTCACATCTCCAAGAAATCAGCGAACATAAAACAAGTGAAGAAAAGAGAGACCAGCCTTGTAAACAAGTATGTGGAAGAAATTTAAGTATCTGGGAAGTATACAAGTGCATGAACAATCCACCCATTGCATCAAAAACAGAAGGAGAGGAGCCAATTGATTGTAAACCAGCTTCATTTGGAGATAGGAACCATGTTTGGCTCTTGGAATTGCAGCAGCCCTGCAAGCCCAGAAACCAGAATTGGGAAAAATATCCATCAAAATCAATCATATCCATAGGCCTAAATGCATCACAGAAACCAGTAAACACATCAAACTTCCTATGAACAGAGAAGATAAACAGTGAAGGGGAAATGGATACTAACAGAGCATTGGCGCGTTCTACATCTTCTTCCAAGACCTTCAGAGAATCCTTACAAGAAGACCTCGCTACCCGATAATACATAATCCGAAAACCCCAAAAACAATACCCACAAAATTGAGCTCAGAAAAGGAAACCCAGAAGAGAAATTTGGTGGCCGGGGCTTCTTTGAATCCCCCACGAAGTAAGTATCACCAGAAAGCAACCTATGAAGAATTGGTTCTTCAGCTTTTACTAGAAGAAGAAGAAGAAGAAGAAGAAGAAGAAGAAGAAGAAAGCTCTTCGAGGCTTACTTTGATCAAAGCGCTTTTGGTATCGACTTTTGTGATTGGGGAAAGGGCATTGCAAAGTATAAATAAAGAGCGTTTTAATCCTCCGGCGATTACCGATAGGGAAGAGGCAGCGCCGTCTGAGAGCGGGAAGAAGGATTCCCTTTTTCCAAATTTACTTCAACTTTGCTTCCTCTTTTTCAAAAGATAATAAAAATCCATCGTTTTCTGTAATTATGTTTTCGTCTTAAATTAAATCATGTGAATCACCACCGTACACTTGTGTTTTTGTTGAATTTTTCTTTTTAAATTTATGTTTTTAGTTTACCGAAGAAACCCCTTACCTTATAAAAAATGGCACGCTCTTAATAGGCGCCATTTCAACGCCCCACCCAAAATTCCTCCCGTTCTTTCGGCCTCAGTTTATCCTCTACTTCAATTTTGTTGCTAAACCCAGTTCAGTTCAACCTCAACTGGAATTGGAAACGTAATTCCGCGATGAATTTGCTCACTATTAACTGTCGTTGCAAATCAACGAACGCTGCTTCCACCTTCAATCCACTCACATGGCGGAATTCTACCTTCATCGGTAAGTCTGCTAACTCGGCTTCAGTCACTTTTTCACTTGTTAAATCGCTCTTGTTCTTCAATAAAAACGCCAACCCTAAAATTGAATCAGCTAATAATTCAATCAACGTATTTCCAAATTCTTGAATCAATGGCGATTAGCGCCATGCTTGATTCATTTGTAAGGATTATATTCTTCTTTAAATTGTTTAAAAACGGTTGTGTTTCGTTAGGTAGGAAGGTTACTGGGCTCATTGATGTACAGAGGGTTCTTCCCACAGGATTATGGAGTGTAAGATTTGCAATGTTCGTTTTCTCTGATTATATGTTTTTTCGCCCTTTAAGATAGCAGCCCTTTTTTTGGGTGTAGAGGTCAAATGTAAAGCAGGTTTATGCAAAGCGGAAACCCGCGAGGAAGCTTGAAAGAACGGGAGAGGAAGTTTCTATACCGTCCTCTTCTGTTGATGATAATGCTCAAGATATGAAGATGAACTCTTCCGATAGTTCATCTAAGAACCGCTTGATTAATATCTCCTCAAGGAGTTCTGTGGTTCAGGCTTGTATAATTACTTCTGGTTTGATTGCTGCTTTGGGAGTGATAATTCGACAGGTGACGCATACCAAGCCAAACATAAGCTTTCATTGGTGTTCATTTCTTGATTTCGGATAGTCATTCTAATCACGTAGGGAAAGTGGAGCATGAGTTTAAAAGTTAAGACATGTTCCTTATGCTATAGCTGTAGATTTGTTTTATGACTGGTTACTGGCCTTTATGATGGATATAATTAGTGTCTTGACGTATTGGAAAGACTATCAATGGCGATTTAAGATCTGTTTTAATGTTTTAGGTATCTCATGTTGCATCGATAGAGGGATTGCCAGTGATTGACTGCACCTCAGAAGTATCATGTAGGACTTCCAAGTTCATTTATCCCGTCTTGCTAATTTACTATTCATCTTGAAGAGAGAGTGTTTGTAATAGTCCTGGTCCTCTTTAGGCTTTTCCTTTTGGGCTGCCTCTCAAGGTTTTATAACACGTATGCTAGGAAGAGGTTTTCACACTCTTATAAGGAATGCTTCGTTTCCCTCTCTAACCGATATGGGATCTTACAATTTACCCTCCTTGGGGGCTCATTGTCCCTGCTGGCACACCGCCCTTGAAGGGAAGGTCTAAAGAGGACAATATTTTCTAGCGGTGGGCTTGAGCTGTTATAAATGGTATCAGAGCCCGACACCGGGCATGTGCCAGCGAGGACGTTGCACCCTCAATGGGGGTGGATTGTGAGATCCCACATCGGTTGGAGAAGGGAACGACACATTTCTTATAAGGGTGTGGAAACCTCTCCCTAGTAGACATGTTTTAAAAGGGAAAGCCCAAAGAGGACAACATCTACCCTCATTGATTCTCGGTTTCATTTCTATTCAATACAAATTATTTTGAATGCTTTGAAAGAATGGTTAGAATTGGAACCACAATCTTCTTTGCCATTCTCTTGGATTTCGTAGTTATGTACTGAGTGACTATGAAATCCAGAAAAATAACAATATTGATATGGATTACAATATTTAACTTATTTACTCCATTCTGGCAGTTAGTTTTGAGATGAGGCAACTTCAGTTGATTACAGGACTGGTTGTTCTAATATCTTCATCCCGATTTTTACTGTTGAAAATATGGCCGGACTTCGCGGAGTCTAGTGAAGCAGCGAATCGACAGGTAGCTGGTTGTTTAGTTTTAATCTGTAAATCTAGAGGCAGCAAGAGCTGAAAAATGTTTTTGCTGCCAACTTATAAATCATTTGCAAATACTCCATAACTCCCAGTGCAGGTGCTCACTTCTCTTCAACCTATAGATTATGCGCTAGTTGCCTTTTTGCCCGGCATTAGTGAGGTGAGTCAAGTATATCAACACTCTCTCATTTTCTTCTAAATCTATTTTCAAGTTACAGTATACGCCTCTCTGAACCTTAGGAATTGCTTTTCCGTGGCGCATTGATACCGCTCTTGGGATTCAACTGGGCAAGTGTCATGTTGACAGCCGCCATTTTTGGCATTCTACACTTGGGGGGTGGCCGGAAGTATTCATTTACAATATGGTATTCATATCTCTATCTGAACTTCAAATCATAATGTACGAACTCTATGTTCAGCAATCGATCATGAATCAAATCATATGGCTTTGCTCTTACAATATGCCGATGGTTGAAAACTGCTTACTTTTCGTTGCATCCATTTTATTTGGCAGGGCAAGTTTTGTTGGACTTGCATATGGTTATGCGACTATCGAATCCTCCAGCATCGTCGTGCCGATGGCTTCTCATGCATTGAATAATTTGGTTGGAGGAATTCTTTGGCGCTACCAGTCAATGAATTTGGAGAATGGTGAAGATCAAAAATGATGTTGATGAATTTATTGATTAACAGATATTTGCTTGGATAAGCATCTGTGACAAATTCATTCCATCAATGGGTAGACAAGTATTATTCATTTGGGACTTTTAAAAACTCGCATGAATTCTCCACCACAAACCAAAAAAGAACTAATAAGAAGACAATTAAGAGAGGCAGGTTGGCCCAATTAGTTGGCAGTTGCTTGTAATTGGAGAGTATGGGTGGCAGCTCAGGATGGTGATCTGCTCGGCTAATTAGTTGGATGGTGATCTGCTCGGCTAATTAGTTGGATGGTGATCTGCTCGGCTAATTAGTTGGATGGTGATCTGCTCGGCTAATTAGTTGGATGGTGATCTGCTCGGCTAATTAGTTGGCTACCAAGTGTGATGGTTGTGCCGAAAATAATTTAATATGCCCATATCTCATAAATTGAATTTTATATGGTTTAAATTATTGTCACGCTGCTTTTAAAATATAAATAAATATAATAACAAATTATTCCAATTTCTAGCTACAATGGGCGTATATAACCGTTTAAATCAACTATATCTATTAAAGTAGTTACATTATTACATGGCAAGTGCAATTATTATTAAAATTAAATGATTCCCTCTATCTGTAAATAATAATAAAAGTCTAACACATAACCAGCTTGAAATAAGAGAATCCGTAAGTCTATCGAATAGTGTTTAATTGGTCATTTTTAATTTTCGTTCTAATCCAAGAGAAAAAAGACTCACGTGTTTAAGTTGTATACTCTCGTCTCATACGAGCTCGTACGATGTCTTACGACTATTTTTTAATGCGTCTAATGAATGTGACTTTATCGCTCTATTAAAAAAAGGACCTATTTAATAAGCAAGTGAATAGGAGCGCCGCACTGCAAACTCAATGATTTTCTTCCATGAAAGAAGGTTAGGCCTTTGCTTTGACTCCGAGGGGAACAACATTGACTTTTTGTCTATCTATATTGATCTTTTCACTCCTATGCGAATTTCTTATTGCATAGTCGAGTATGAAGTTCAACGGCTTTCATCGTTGACGAACCCTTGCGCTAATAAGACAAAGAAGTGAGTGGGGGTCCTATTGATGTCAACCATAGAGCTCGCACCTAGATAAAAAAAAAAATGTGATCTCTTCAAGCCTATAAGCTAAGTAAGACAATGAATTGATCATAATAGTTGCTCTCTTCCCTTTGTTAGTTAGAGCAAAGCAATAAGACCGAGTGAAAGAAGGGAGAGTAAGAACATAATGTTTTTTCCAATCATGCACGGCGAGTTCTCCAAACTCAGATCACCTGGTTAAGAAAAGACTTGAAACACTTTCTTTTAGTGAAAAAATAAATAGGTTTAAAAAAGAAGAAAGATCAGAAATGAAATAGTCGATTGACTAAGGTCGATGCAAACAAGTTCGTGAAGAAACAAGTTTCACGAAGAGTGAAGAAGTCCCGCGTAGCTGGCTCGTTTGATTTATAGCATCAATGCGTACCCAACAAATTCTCTAAATGAAAAAACAAATTCATAGTTTATTGAGATTTTAAATGAGGTGGTTTGCTCATCTACTTCAGCGATCCATCATCCGTTTTCATAAATGAAACCGCCTCCATCCTTTACTTCATCTTCTTGTTTTCTACGTTGACGAGTGTGCTTTTGGCCCCTTTAAAACCCAGACTTCAAGACCCACAATCTTCCAATACCAAGATGGAGCTCAGTTGTGTTGAGCAGCTTAAATCCCAGCCCCTCTGGGTTTGCTTGCTATTCGCGTTCGGATCTCTCTCGGCTTTGAAATTCTTAGTAATCGTTCTCAAATGGGTCTATGTCAATTTCCTCAGACCCCCAAAGAATCTCAAGAAATACGGATCTTGGGCGCTCGTCACAGGACCCACTGATGGAATCGGTAAGGGTTTCGCCTTTCAGCTGGCTCGCAAGGGGCTCAATCTGATTTTGGTGGGTCGGAACCCTGAGAAACTCAAGGACGTTTCCGATTCAATCGTCGCTATATACGGCAGCATCCAAATAAAGAACGTTGTCGTCGATTTCTCCGGCGATCTTTCAGAAGGGATGAAGAGAATCAGCGAAGCGATTGAAGGGTTGGATGTTGGGGTTTTGATTAACAACGTTGGGGTTTCGTATCCGTACGGAAGGTTTTTCCACGAAGTGGATGAGGAGCTTCTCAATAACTTAATCAAGGTCAATGTGGAAGGCACTACCAAGGTGACTCAAGCTGTTTTGCCTGGAATGTTGAAGAGGAAGAGAGGCGCCATCGTTAATATTGGTTCTGGTGCTGCCATTGTCATTCCTTCAGATCCCTTATATGCTGTCTATGCCGCCACCAAAGCGTAAGATCCATTTCTTTATTTGTTCATATTCCTGAAATTCTGTTATTGCTTGTTCATAGTTTATGCATATTTCGTTTAGATTTGATGTTTCTTGCTGGAAAAATGACGAATGTTGAAATAATTCCAGGTACATTGACCAATTCTCGAGGTGCCTGTATGTGGAGTACAAGAAGAGTGGAATTGATGTGCAATGTCAGGTAATATCTCGTTGTTACTCTCTGGTTCAGATTGAGATCTATGGATATTGAAATAATCAACTTCAACTCAACTGTTTAAAAGAAGAAAAGGTTTTGTTCCAATGAGCTCTAGTGTGAGTTCACATGATTTCATGTTCAGGACTCGGATGAGGATCTGGAATCCGGATTCGGGGCCATTTGATGGTCCCGACATTCTCCTGCAACATGGTCACATATGCATCTAAGTCACCGAATATAGAATTGCTCTAAACAAATCATGCTTTAACTATAAAATGAAATATGAAGTTCTTGTGATTGAGCTGCTTCGAACATAGCATCTAAGTCATTGTTTGCCCCTTAATTTGGTCATCAAGTTCATGATACCTGAAAACATGATGGTTTTATACTGCAGTTGTTAGATGGTCTGTCTTTTAAGTTCCGTTTATTTTTAGAGCAGCTTTGAAAGCCAAAGTAAAACATGGGGAATCTGTTGACTCACTCGTTTAATAAACTTGGTCGAGGTAGGTCCCGCTGTATGTTGCTACGAAAATGGCGTCTATTCGACGATCATCCTTCTTCGTTCCTTCGACGAATGGATATGCAGCTGCAGCTCTCCGGTGGATTGGGTATGAGCCTCGCTGCACACCGTATTGGCCCCATCAACTTATATGGGGTTTGGTGTACTTGTTGCCAGAGTCTGTTGTTGATGCTTGGCGCCTGAAGTTTTGTCTTGGCATCAGAAAGAGAGGACAACTCAAAGACTCGAGGAAAAAGGAAGAGTAGGAAGATTCAAGATATGTAGCGTTGTTCTAATTCTTCGCCTTCATTGAATTCTGGAACCATATACCTGCTAGATTTGAATGTTTTGAGTTTTGTTCTTCTTTTCGATGACCTTTCAATATATTTCTTAGAAAGCTAATGGTGAAAAGACTTTGGTGACGATGCGCTCCATTTTGTTCTCGTTCTTCGTTGGATGAAAGTCTTACCTCGACTAATTTAGGGAATGATCATGGGTTTATAAACAAGGGATACATACTAATCATTAGTACGAGGCCTTTTGGGAAAGCCCAAAGCTAAGGCATGAGAGCTTATGCTCAAAGTGGACAGTATCATACCATTGTGGAGAGGCGTGTTCGTCTAACAATTTTTAATCTTGAATGTCGTCTAACAATTTTTAATCTTGAATGTATGACAGTAGTGTTCTTATGGATACCCCATTAGCCCATTTGATCGCCCTCTCAACTTACTCGTTTGATACTCTTAGATCTTATTTTGTCAACCATGATGTTGGTAGCTGAATATGAAGAATTTAGTACCTTTTTTAATTGTTGATCTAAGAAACAAAATATAAACTTTAAAATATATATATATATATATATATATATATATATATATATTTTTTTTTTTATAACAAACATACTTTTGTTTATTTTATACAAAAAATCATTAAAAAAAATCACTAATATATTTTTAATTTTAAAGTTTGTGTCCAATTAAAAAACTATCTAATAAGTTTTAAAAAAATTAAATTTATTTTCAATGGAATCTTTAATATGTTAAGAAATATTATAAAATATTATTAAATTTCAAGATTTTATTAAGAGTTCAAATTTTTTTAAGAGGGTAATTTAACATGGGCGCCACTATATTGTTATCGGGCTATAAACTGGTGTCGGCCCATATAAATTAATGGGCCAAGTTGGACGGTCGTTAAATTTCGTAGCATAACTGTTCCTTCCTTCAACATTCGCGCTTCAAATCCCAGAGGTGGCTCGTAGCCGCCTTCAGTATCTCTCAGCCATTGCGGTTCTCCTCTTCGGCTCCGTTTTGCTGTTTCACTGCTAATGTCAACCCGCTGAAGGAGAGGGCTGCAGATTACCCATTAGAAGATCGCTTCTTGTTGCTTTGCCCTTGCAGTTCAGCATTGAATTGTATTCGATGTCGATGCTGGATTCTCCCACATGTTTCGTCGATGCTGCGGCGTCTCACAATACTGTTTTCATTGACACCAGCCTCGGCACTCACTTGGCGATGGCCGTCTCAGACGGTGATATCGTCTCTGATATCAAAGGTGAACTTCTGCTATCTCCTTTTGTTTTTCGTCATATTCTTTCTGCGGGTATACTGTTGTAGAGTTTATCATTGCATTCAAGATCGGTTTAGCTATATCTGGTTAATTGATTTTGGGGCAAAGCTTATGCACGAAGGTTGTATATCATTTGAATGAGTTTTGAAGTTTTGGGATGCAAGACTTTGGCGTTTTGGAATGATGGTTTTAGAACACAAGATCTATATTTTCATGTCCAATAGCTGTGAACTTAAATTTTTGTCCTTTGGTTATTTTATGTTCGCTCTGAGGCTGTCTGACATTCCTAAAGAGACATTATCAGTGATAGAGATTAAAATATAAATTACACAAAATTAATTATTTGAATTGAAATCTTGGTATATTTCCATATGTTTTAGTTTATTTCTATGGCTAACTCTTTCGTTCTCTTTCAACATTACTACACTAATTCTTCTTCTCTATTGTTATCATTATTTTCTTAGTTCAAGTGACATTGAGTCGAATTTTCTCCAAACTCTTTCTGTCTATCTGATACGATTAAAATTGGTTGTTATTATTATTATTATTATTAAAAGATTCTTCTTTAACTAGCAAGGCTGGTCTGAAAACCATTGGTTTCTCAGTTTTCGGCTTTGGGAAATTAAATTTATAAACACTAGTTCCACTTATGAGTTTTTTAGTCGGTTGTCTTCTTTTTAGGGATGCTTTCGAGATTCAAGTCTAATTTTTAAAAAATAATTTTTAAACATTTTTGTTTTTGAAATTTGGCTATGAATTCAAGTATTGTCTTGAAAAAGCTGAAAAAAAACGTTGCAAGAAAATTGTGAGAAAATAGACTCAGTTGTCAAAAATGATATGATTTGTAAAGTGTTTTTATGGTTTATATATTTTACATTTGAAATGACACCTTGATGCTTTTGCACGCAGGAAAGATAGAGAAGGAACATCCACTGTGTTTTCCTCATCTCGGGACCGTAAAAATTCATGCAATTAAGGTGCTTAATTATAATCTGTATACGTGAGCACAATCGATTATCTGTACCTCTATTATTTACAGCTATGGGGATTTTAAACTGTCAGGTAACGCGCAAAGGGCACTTCTATCACCTTTCTGACTCCATGTATTTGAAAAGTGCATTTGTTGGCTACAATGACTGCTGGTTTCTTTCTGTTGATGCTTCTATTGTTGATGGTCAGTCAACTGACCCTAATACTGGCAATCTTTCAACTTATTTTGAAAGGGCAGGTGATAGCTCCGTTGATAGAATAAATGTTGCCAGAAATAATCATGGTGGACATTTACCTAACCATGATGCTTCACAATTACAAGACATTGTGACACAAGAATATGTCAATGAGAAAGCCCCTAGTAGAAAAGATTTAACGACTGAGAAGGAAGAAGTTACTCATTCTGTTGAAAATTGCAGCAAACATCAATCGGGCAGGATAAGGAATGGCTATGAAGGCCTCAGCGAAACACTGGAATCTTTGCCTACTGTGAAGGTGAATCGTAAAAGTAAGAAGAGAAAAACAAAATTGATTACTGAACATGAAGTTGTTAATCATACCGGTGATGATAATGATCAAAACTCATTGCAGCAAGTCGTTGGATCTGGTGAAAAATCCAGGGAATATGTACATAATAAAGTTTTTGATCATCCAATGATGGAGAGAAAATCCAATGTAGGTGAACCTGGTCAGGTCTCATCTTCTAGTGCTCGTGATGAATCTGAACATGGAAGGACGCTTAAGTTTAATTTATCTGAGGAAGCTGAGGTTGATGACAAAAATTATAAATCCAAATATCTGATGGATAATACTTCTTTGGTAGGTGCTGCACAGGCTGGGTTCATTGCAAAAAAAATGCCCATGATTGAAATGACAAGTGGAGTAATGAATGGAGTGGAAGGAAACAGAGTTTTTGTTTCTGAATCTAGCAAAGCGACATCTACACCTAAGGTTACTTCCGAGTACTTGTCGGATATGAAACAAACTGCAAAAGTTGTCGTAGGTAGTTTGTCTACTGAACCTGATGATCAACTGCCCAAGAGTGGTTCAAGTTATGAGAAGAAGAAGACAAGGAAAAGGAAAAGTAAGTTGTCATGTTGTCCAAATGAGGCTGTTGGTTTGATTTCATCTAGAGTAGAGGATCAACAGGATGCAAGTCGAGAATCTGATATAACAACTGTCCCCAGTCAAGATATTGAGGAGGCATCAATTCCCAACCTCCTGGGAGCATCCAGGAAAAGGCACAATGATTCGAATGATAAAATTGCAGAAACTTCTGCACCGTCCTTGGTTGGAGAGTCCTGTATGTTTCTCTTCAAACATTCTAATGTGGTTGTATGTTAAATGAAAGATCGTGTTTACAGCTTCACAAACTAGCCCAATAAATGATGGGTTCTGATATTGATTCATATTCTTCTTGTAGGTGATGATAAGAACAACATTGAACTTGGCGATGTGCAAAGCATAAGGAATGCGTCTGATAAAGCTGTGTTAGGAGTAAAAGGAATGATTGATTCAAAGGACATTGCCTCTAAAAGCAAGGATCCCACTGATCTCCAGAAAAGCATTAGTACATCTGAGGATGCCAATAATGTTCGAGGCAATCATCTTACGTGCAAAACCGGAAAGGTTCCAATTCTAGAGGGAAAAGAGTTTCTGCAGGTCACCGATACAAAAGCCTCAATGGTAGAGAACTGTCACTCATCAAGCTGGGATGGTACTGACGCTAATGTTAAAGCTGCTGATATTTCTGAATCGGTACATTTAAAGGGAACTACTGAAAGCGCCAAGCATGGTAAGAAAAGGAAGATTAAAAAATCTAGGGGTTCAGCAGAAGAAAGACAGATTAATTTAGTCACAGCAGGTGCTGGAGATACCGCACAAGACATTCTTCCAATTGAGCCACAAAGTTCTACTTTAGGTGATAATTCTTGTAGTAAAGCTGAGATTGGAGAAAACAATGTTTCTCTAATGAAGGGAGAAAACACAACTAGTACTTCCTTAATACCTGATGTTACTGAAAACGCCAAGCATGGTAAGAAAAGGAAGATTAAAAAATCTAGGGGTTCAGCAGAAGAAAGACAGATTAATTTAGTCACGGCAGGTGCTGGAGATACCGCACAAGACATTCCTCCAACCGAGCCACAAAGTTCTACTTTAGGTGATAATTCTTGTAGTAAAGCTGAGAATGGAGAAAACAATGTTTCTCTAATGAAGAGAGAAAACACAACTAGTACTTCCTTAATACCTGATGCTAGGAACATAGATATAGATAAACCAATTATAAGTAAGGTGGGACCTTCGATGCAAATCAACCAAACTCAAGCAGTAGCAAAAGACATGGATGGGCAAGTGAGAAAGAAAAATAAGAAGAGACCTGTGGCATCAATGAAAAGTACACCAGACCTTCAAGAAGAAAGTATCGGTAATGAGGATTCATTCCCATCAAAGAGAATTGACGAGGAAGTAAAACCTGTGTCTATAGCGGCAAAGAAAACTAAGTTTCCGAAAGCAAATTTGAGGAATGAAATTGAAGAAGCAAATTTGGACTCTACGCTGTTTTCTGAGGTTGAAACTACTCCTAGCATTTGCAAGAAGTCTAAGACAGTTGGGCCCTCCCTCACTCCATCTCTCGTTTCTGAAGGCTATGAAGAGAGGCCTATTGAAGCAAATAGATGTAGCAACACCAGTAAAGATGGTACTACTGATAATGTTGACAATCATGGTGAAGTTCCTTATAAAAGCGATAAAGTTGGCATTGAGGAAAAGGCTGTCAAACTACAACACAAATCCGTTGAAGTGCATGTCGACAAGTTGAGTAGAGAGAAAAGTCCGGATACTTTGCTCAAATCTAAAAGGAAAAAGAAAAGTCTAAGTGCATGCTCTTCTGCGGTCTCCTTGAGTACGCAGGACAAACAGAAGTCAGATGAAAACACAGAGACTGAGGAACATTGGCAAACTAGCAACTCTAGCGCCCTCAAACTTCATGTTGACAATAAGCTAAAGAAAAATTCAAGAGGTGGGGTAAATTCTCTGCCTTCTAATGAGCATAAGCAGCAAACCTCTGACTCTAATAAAGCAGCTAGGGTGAGGGAAAAAGTTGTTGATTCTTCTCGGGGCAGTACTGAGATATACAGTGAAACTCCTGCTTTACCAAAAGCAAGACCCAAGTTGAAAAACTCAGCAAATATGGCTCAACAGGACCAAAAGCATAGGGGAAGTCAATCTACTGTTATTGGCCATCCTCTGGGTGAACAAAAACCTTCTCGGAGTGGAAAGCAAGATGATACTCAATCACAACGAAAGAACTCGTTGCTTACATCAGGAGGCATATTTAAGGATGCTAGCAGTGATAGTTCTGAGGATGAAGGTGGAATTGCTGATTCAGATGCTAGATCTCCTGATAATTCATTAATATCCAACTTCTCAGACGGTGAAAGCAATGGTAACAAAACACATCACGCTGTGCCAAGATTATATTGTTTTGCATTTCTGTGCTGCTTTTTAGATAGTTGGACGAGTCTATCAAACTTTTGGGCTTCCTTACTTTCTTCCCCCCTCCCCATCTCGTTTTCTTTGCAATCATGTTATTGGTTTCTTATTGCTAATATTTTTCTTTTGAACGAATTTTGTCTCAGGATCTGTTGACTTGGAAAGAACAAACACCCGTAGAAGTATGAGAAAGAAAGAGTAAGTTTATGATGAAAAATGACGTTGGTTGTCTTTCCTGATTGAAGATATGTTAAATATGATATGAGCATCTGTTGTTACAGAAATGTTGTGCATACATTTAGTGTCCTCACTTATATAGATATGCTAAAATGGAAATTACAAATGCCATTTGTCACCTCCTTACTTTGAAATTTTTTGCTTGTAATTTTTGGGTCCAATTATTCAGTTTTCCCTAGTTTCTCCTCGTTAACTTCCAACAAAAAAAAAAAAAAAAAACGTTTCCTTTCTGAGTATCTTTGAACTGCAATATTTTTGCCTTTTGTAGTATAGTTTATATTCTCCACCTGTAAACGTTTGCGATCTTGTAACAGGCCTTCAAGCCCTGAGAATATGACCCTTGACATAATCCTTCGAAGTTCAAGTAGGTATAAGAAGGCAAAGCTCACAGCTGTGCAATCACTACAAGATGATACTGAAAGCCAGCCTGTCGATTTTGTTCCAGACAGTCAGCCTAATATTTAGTTTGTTATAGTCATTTACCTCCTCCCAGAGCAATTTTCCAGAATTCATTGCCTAAACCTTCTTGTGCTTGTCTAAGTTTGTTAATGGAGATTGTCAAGATATCAAATTTTTGTGAACTGAAGAAATCACAAGGAAATGAGATCCTTGGGTTCTTTCGATGCTTGCATGATGTTTCCATGCTGAGTCTGTTCTGTAGTACATAACCAAAAATATTATTTTGAAGTAAATTATCAGTGGAACCAAACTCTATGCTTACTTCTTTTTGCACTTTTTTAACGTTGTTCAAGTATGTTAGACCTCTATTGAAGTTGAAAATGTTAAGCAGGTAGCTTTCTCTCTGGTAGCCAATACGAAAACGAAGACTCCAACTTCAAAGACATTCATATACACGGAAAGATATAGCTAATTGTCCAGATGACAGGAGAAACAATGATTGCCATTTGAAATAGATTCATTAACATAATCTGCAATTACAGGTGATTTGTGTGCTATCACACTGCTCAAAATTTGGAATCACTCGGACCTCATCCTGTTGAGCTGATTCAAAGCCGGCTGTAGAATGTTGTACAGCACCCAAAGAATGGCGGGAGCTACGACAAACAGCAGAAGCTGGCCCCTGCTATCACTTGAAGATGCATCCGCAATCATGGCGAGCTCACTGGCAGAGGCATCAGGTGCGTACATGAACCCTGATGCAGTCAACCCCCCTAATCCCAACCCAATTATCACACCCTTGTCACTGCGCATTCTGTTTATCTGGTTGAGTGCTGGCTGTAATATGTTGAACAGAACCCATGCTATGGCCGGGATAAGAGGTAGCAAAAGGGCTATACCACGGTTGTCACCGTCGGCTGCTATATCTGCAATTTGTTGGGCTGCGAAGGCAGGATCTGATGAGCTCAGGGCTGAGAAGACAGCTCCGGCGATGGCGGTGGTGGAGAGAAAGGCTGATAAGTTGGAATGTTCATTGGATTTTGATGAGATTAGTCCTTTCGGCAGGTTCTGGAGAGAGAGAAGGGAGATGGGCTTGGGGATCAGCTTTGGGGTGTTGTGGTTTCTGGTGGAGTTGATGCTTGTGCACTTGACACTCAGCACTGCCATTGTTGCCATGGTAGCTGCCATTGAAGTTGATTTGCTTGTTTCTGCTGAACTTTGCTCTTGATGGCCTCTGGCGGACAGGTAGGGGAGGTGCAGAATGAAGTAGGAAAGGTTGGGTTTTGGCAAAAAGTTTAGTTGTGATGAGATGAGGAGATGGGAAGACAGAGGAGAAGCCAAGTCATGGTAATTCCAACCAATAAAATTGTTCGGAGTGGATTCTCTCTTATCCAATGGGTGGGACTGTGAGTCAGAGATCTCTTATTTCCTACCCCACTTTACTTCTCTTATCACTTCAATAACTTGCTTTTCCTTCTCTATTTTTTAAATGATTCAAAATAAATCATTTTCATCCCTAACATATTAAGTCTACGAAAAGAAAAGCATGGATTGAGATTTTGATGTCTGATCTTTGAATGAACGAACGCTTAAATTTTTCAACATATGTATAATCAGTGTAATCCATGAGTGAGTTTTGATTGCTCCCGTTCTTTAATAAATTATTAATATTCATCCATTAAAAGCTATGAAATGAAATCAAACTTAAATAAATATGATGGTATGTCAAGGCCAAATGATAATTTATAATAAAAAAAAACATGCATCTTCCCAAGCAATCTATGTTCTTCGCTGAAAGAGTAACCACAACGATTGTGTTCGAAATATTTTTTATCAGGCATTGTAAACGTGAAGAGAAGGAATGGATTGTCCAAGTTTATATGAAAATAATGTAAATCCATGCTAGAAAATTTTCCGAGCAAGCACGAACATGGTTTCATTGCTGTTCATCAATTTAATTTCCCATGGCAAGCTTGGCTGTTGATCCAACGGCGGTGAATGGATTCTGCGTCCAAGCACTCCACCGTCCTAAACTGTCCAACTTTGTGGCAGCCGTCCACGTTTTCGTAATCCCAGCACCCTTTCGGTTGCCTCCGAGCATTCAAAAACTTGCCCAAAACGAACACTGATTTCGATATTCACTCAAGTTTTTACCAAAGAAGCAACAAAAACAACAATTTTTATGAACCCCAGTGGAAAATCTTCGGCTTTCATCTCTGAAATCCTCCATCCCACCATCCAATCAAGCTGTCACTCGAATGCTACCTCTGCAAATTCGCTGTTTTTCTCCTTGAAGTTTGACCCATAAACCCCCTTCCCTTCCTTTTCAATTTGGGGGTTTTTGTGAGCTTCATTTCTTCTTGTTTACCCGATAAAAAATGGCTTCCGTCTCATTTTACCGCCCAAGCTTTGTGTTCTCTTCATTTCCGAACCGTGTTCCGACCTCAAATCCTCTATTTCATGGAGTCCAATTCCGAGGTTTATCCCACCATAAGCCTTTCCTTCGTGGTTCCCTTCCGGTGGCGAGATTTGGGTTTAAACCCGAGTTCTTGCCTGACCCGGATCACGCCGAGGGCTTTGTTAGAGAGTTATTCGGCAAAGCTGAGAGCGTTCTTTACACGATTGCCGACGCCGCCGTGTCTGCTTCTCCGGAGAATGTTACCACCGCCAAACAGACGGAGGATTGGTTTACGGGGATCACCAATTATATGGAGAGCATCCTTAAAGTATGTTATGTTTAGCTAATTATCACTTATGAACATCATTGTTGATCTTAGTTTCCTTTGGCCTTGGTTTAGAGTTGGATTTACATAAAGTAGATGAAAATTGAGAATTGAACTTGTATTTAATCTTGTTGGCCTCATGTTTCAGATTCTTAAGGATGGCCTTTCTGCTGTACATGTTCCTTATGCCTATGGTTTTGCCATTATACTCCTTACAGTTCTTGTTAAGGCTGCTACGTTTCCTTTGACGAAGAAGCAGGTTCTTCGCTGAACCAATAAATACTTTTATTCCCATGAATTCGTTTAGTGTTCTTGACTCTTCTGTTGAACTCAGGTAGAATCTGCAATGGCGATGCGTTCTTTGCAACCGCAAGTGAAGGCTGTTCAGCAACGCTATGCTGGGGATCAGGTTCAAACTTTTCTCTTGCTGTAGAATATATCTCGGGAACGACAGGGAAAGAGTTTACTCATAATAGTTGTTTCTAGTACCAATGTACTTTATGAAGCTATGCTTACTGTAATTAGCACGACGTTGATAGCTAGTTAGAATTGTCTTCTCGAATTGTGGCATTGCGATTATGATAGTTCTGGCTCATAATCAATGGCGTCGTAACATACCTTTTAGAAAAGGAAAACTGTTTTTTAACCATGCATATAATGGTCATGAGAGTGGCAGCCACTTCTAGTCTCCTTTTTAGAGGTAGCAATTTAAATAAGCTTGAATCGAATGTTCTTCGCTCTATGATCAAATTTTACTTTTTTAATCTGTCTGCAGGAGAGGATTCAAGTTGAGACCGCTCGACTGTACAAATTAGCTGGCATAAACCCACTGGCAGGTGCTAAAATTGTGCCTGTTTTTAGAGATATAGTTACTCTGATAAGTTTAGTAGTTAGACGTTGCCTCTTTGTTCATGCATCTGTGTGAATTTATTTGGCTCAGGTTTGGTTCTTCTTACACAAATAAGTTTTTGTCATGATGGACAAGCATTGGATCCTTCCTATAGATTATGTTGATATGCTTGGTGAAGTGAAGCTAAGCTACTAGATCGATATTAGTTCAAGTCATGCATCGATTACTTTTTGGATTTTGCCTAGGAAATGTATGCAAGTAAGTTCATGCATTTGTGAACTGTCATTCTATCCTCGATGGAGGTTTGGTGTGAGATCCCACATCGGTTGGAGAGGGGAACGAAGCATTCTTTATAAGGGTGTGGAAACATCGGTGTGAGATCTCACAATATCTGCTAGTGGTGAGCTTGGGTTGTTACAAATGGTATCAGAGCCAGACACCGGGCGGTGTGTTAACGAGGATGCTGAGCCTTGAAGGGGGGTGAATTGTGAAATCCCACATCGGTTGGAGAGGGGAACAAAGCATTCTTTATAAGGGTGTGGAAACCTCTCCCTAGTAGATGCGTTTTAAAAACCTTGAGGGGAAGCCCGAAAGGGAAAAGCCCAAAGAAGACGATATCCACTAGTAGTGGGCTTGGGCTGTTATATTTGGAATATTTGAATGAACGCAGTTATTGCTTGGTATCTCATATGTCAATGTTATCTCGGTTTGCAGGATGCCTACCCACATTGGCAACAATTCCTGTATGGATTGGACTATACAGAGCTCTTTCAAATGTGGCCAACGAGGTGCTCTTTGAATTTGTTCAGAGCTTGTGATTTCTCACTATCGCTTATCCCTAATCTGATCTGATTGCCTAAATTTAAGGGTCTCCTCACGGAAGGCTTTTTCTGGATACCCTCTCTGGCTGGTCCAACCACAATTGCTTCTCGACAAAATGGGAGCGGTATCTCTTGGCTCTTTCCATTTGTTGTAAGTATTTTGGTATAACATGGCATTTGTTGTAAGTATTTTGGTATAACATGGCATTTGTTGCAAGTATCTAGTGCCAATTCTTATATTATGGTTGCATCGGCTTCTGAGCAGGATGGCCATCCACCACTTGGGTGGTCAGATACTTTTGCGTATCTTGTCCTGCCGGTGTTGCTGGTCGTCTCACAGTACATCTCTGTTCAAATTATGCAATCGTCGCAGGTCGGTTGTTTTCTTGATGTTCATCATCATGTTGCTGTCTATAGAGGCATCGTGGCTTGTTTTCATTTATGTTAATTCTTAACTCTTAGTCTGAAAAAAACATTTGTAGCTTACAAGTATAATCTGTTCATTTTGGGTTATCTAACATATCTTGAGGTTATGACGTCCAGAATAATGATCCAAACATGAAGAGTTCTCAAGCCATATCGAAGTTCCTACCGTTAATGATCGGATATTTTGCACTTTCGGTTCCTTCGGGTCTAAGCCTTTACTGGTAAGCAAATTTTCCAATCAGGACCATCTGTAGGCAAAATAGATTGGTCATTTCTGGCTCTACTAATTGTTGCAGCATAGTCTCCTTGAAAATTTCGGCATCTCTTATATCTGTCAGATGTTATAATTCAGGCTTACCAATAACATCTTGAGCACAGCTCAGCAAGCATGGCTTCAAAAGTTAGGTGGTGCGAAAACCCCGGACAAACAATTGATGGATGAAATCATGAAACAAGAACAACCCCAAATCCAGAGCCAAGCGCCCAAGTTAGACGCAACCTCGAGTAGCACGGTAGCTCGACAAGAAGAGAAGCTGACAGCAGAAGGGCTAAAACCTGGTGAAAGGTTAGAAGCAGTTTGTTACGAAAAACAAGTGTGGGGTTTAGTTATGACTGGCTTTTGATGTGTTGATAATTTCCAGATTTAAACAGATAAAGGAGCAAGAGGCTAGGTTGAGACAGCAAAGTGAAGAAGAAAAAAGGAAAGCTGAAGACCAAGGCTCCATATCTATGTCTACCATGCAACGAACAGATGTGGAAAACAAGCCAAGTGCAACTCCAGGGGAGGTAAATCCCTTCTTGTATAAACTCGTCGCACTTTTGTAGTTCGAAATTCATAATTAAATGCTTATTTCAGGGAGTACACGAGACATACACTGGAGTGGCCAAGGATGCCAAACTAAAGGGAGAAGAACAAAGAGAGTAACTGGTTGACGCAAGATAGAGATAGAGATAGTGTTTTGATTATAGAAGCCAGTAGGTTAGTTCACATGGTTGATATGGCAGGAAAGGCAATTGTTTCGATCAGCTCGATACCGTGAAGAAAACTCCATCTCCATCGGAGGTGGTATTCGAGCTTCTTTTTCCCGATGGGCAGTTGAGTTTCAGAGTTTACTCGTCCATCATAGATTTGGATTGGGAATGATATGGAATGTAATTTGAAATCTGTACAAACACAGATGAGTACTTTCTTTTCACGTGGGTTTGATTAGAATGATGGGTAATAATGAATGGAGCTTTTTTGAAGTTGAACAATCTTGAGCTGAAGCTTGCCCTGTTCTATCTGTATTCTCATCGTCATCCATCATTCATTTTTCTACAACAGTCCAGATTGGTACAAATCTCGGTTTGTTTAATGTGAAGCCCACAACCCATTAACGTAGTGGGCCGTGGCCCAATTGAGAGAGAGAGAGAGAGAGAGAGAGGAGAGAGAGAGAGAGAGCCACGTGATAATAATGGAATTTGGACTTTTTAGAAGAATTCGATAAGGTGGGAAAGTATAGTTTTTTATATAAAATTACAAGACTTTTCAATGATTTCCCCATTTTTATTTATTTATTTATTTATTTGTCACATCTTACCAAGCACATGATTCAATCATTAACACGTCCTTTTTTACTTTTTTTTAATTATTATTATTATTAAAAAAAAAGTTGGAATTTTCAATTGGATTAAAAAATAAAAATGAGTAAGATGCTAGTTGAACATAATTATTGTTCTCTACGCTTAAATCATGGAAATTGCAAGTTAAGTTAAGTGAAGCTAAGAATGAATATTTGTATTTATGTACTTAATTAATTGTAGATAATTTGTTATGAATATAAAAAATGGTGCATTTAATTCAGGCCTACACTTAAAATAATAAATAGATTATTATTTTTTTAATTAAAAAAAAAAAGCTATATATTGACATTTATGATAAACACAAATGATAATGTTGATGATGAGTGAGTATTGACTAATCTTAGCCTTTTGTTAATAAAAAACATGGTTTAGGTCCGCAAGTTCGGGTTGACATCATTAACTAAATTATTAAAACATTTTAAATAATAATTATAAAAATATTTTGTAATTTAAAAAAAGAAACTTATGAAAATATTAACTCCATCCCACCATCATAAGGAATTTATCAAACATAATCTATCATTGATTTAATTGGAGCACATGCCTCTCTCTCAATATTCATATTATTCATATTATTCATATTATTCATTCATTCGTCGTATCATATTGAATTGACAGCAAAAAACTTCATATTTGTCTGTATTTATTGTATAGAGTATTGGTGTAAGATTAACTCAACTTTATTAATTTAATTTCTGGATATATCTAATTTTTTTATATATATATAATTTCTAAAAAATATTTAATTTAATTGCTTAAACACTTAATTTCCAGATAAACAAAACCGAGTTTTAAAAAAAAATTAATTAAGTTAAGTAATAAACATTAGTTAGGCAATTAAGAGCATGTGAGTGTTTCCTAATTCCTACCTTCTAGATGCATGTGAAGGAGAGGCAACATTATTTTTGTGGTTTGACTTTCTTTTTTTCTTTTTAAATTAAATTTCTAGGCTACACTTAAATTTAATTTTAATAAAACCAATTTATCTTTTAATTTGGTAAATATAAATAAAAACGTAAACTGAAGGGTATAAATTATGTATATAAAATTATATTTGAAAATATAATTTAAAATATTTTTGAAAGTTGTTGTAATATATATATTTTTTTTTATATATTTGATTATTTAAAAGAAAGGGTGAGAGGGTCCTTGATTAGGGCAATCCGCGGTGCCCTACAGCTACCAAAGGCCACAATAATGGAGGTGGGGTTTGCTTGATAAGCCGCAATGACCACCCTCCAGCCCCATCCACCTCCTTTTGAGATCTTCTGAGGCCTTAATTAATCAAATAATATTCTCTCATTATTGTTAATCCGTGTATTTTCCAATTAAATCTTGACCTATATCAATATTTTTAAGGCTACGTTCAAATAGTCCCTATTTTTTTAATATGGAAAAAATGGTGGGCTATTTAGATTATTGTTTTGTTCGCATATTTATGTTTATAAAACAATAAGTTATATTATTTTGTTCAAAGGAGAAACTTTAATAGAACTATAAGAGGTAAATTTTAGGGTTAAAAGAAAATTGAATAATGTGGGTTGAATGTTTGGGGAATAAGACAGGATATCAGAAGGTGGAGTATGAAAACGGGGATTGGAATAATGTAAACCCGAGTTGGGATAAGTGAAGTTCCCGGAACCCAAGCAGCAGTTTAAGGCTAATCCACGCCATTGGTTCGTACTACGAAACTATAATATTAATAAAAAAAGTACACTTTATTATTAATATTTAATGTATACTTTTGTTCTGTTTATAAAATTGGAGTATCTTATCCACCTCCGGGGTTATAATAATCCCAGAATTGTGGCGTTGGGTTTAGGTGATGGAATCTGACGGCTTACATCACCGATGATAACATCTGAGAATTCAAAGGTCAAAGCATCGGATGGGTGGGATTTAACGGAGCCGATCGTGAAGGGTGGGGTTGTCTGCCACAAGACCCACATGGGAGAACGTGGCTTGCTTACAAAATTAAAAAAAATTAAAAAAAGAAAAAAGAAAGTCCACGTCAGCTTCTTGACGGACGGTACGAACCTCCCATGTGGCACAAAATTTTAATCTGACGTCAAATAAAGAAAATTATTCAAAAAAAGAAAGAAAAAAAGAGAGAAATAATTTGGATTTGGATCTAAATAGAATGACGCCGACATCCATTTTGAAACTTGGGAAGTGTCGGCAGTTTAATTTAACGTTCTTGAATGAATTACCTTTGTTTTTTTGAAAAATAAGAAGGGTTAAATATAATGTTTTTACTATAGAACACAACCCAGTTATGTTGTTAACGGCCAACTACTTTGCGCCCAACTGAAATCATGGATGAATGCGAGCTTAGATTTTGGTTTTTTTTTTTAAATAAACAATCTTTTTCAATTTTTTTAATTTTAAATAATGAAAGCTCCATTTGTGATGTGAGGGTTTATAAAAACCAGCATTCTTTACCCCTTTCTTCATCATCGTCATTACCAAACTCGATCCTCTGTTTTTGCCTCCTCTGTTTCACACACAGAAAGAGGGAGAGAAAAAGAAAGGCAGCCATGGAAATTCCAAGTTTTCTTCCCATAATAACCTTCACTCTTCTTCTCCAAATGTGCGCCATTTCATCTTCTCCAGTCGCCGACCCTCAACTAGTCGTCCAAGAAGTTCTCTCGTGAGTTCTTTTCCAAATCTGAAACTTTGAACACGTATTAGTGGGAACATTTTTGTGAACATCTTTTTGTTTTTTTTTTTTTTTTTTGTTGGTCATGGTTTCAGGAGCATCAACAATGCAACAACAAGAAGGAATTTGGGGTTCCTTTCCTGTGGAACTGGAAACCCAATAGACGACTGTTGGCGGTGCGACCCCAATTGGGAGAAGAATCGAAAGCGTCTAGCCGACTGCGGCATTGGGTTCGGGAAGCGAGCCATCGGCGGCAAAAACGGGAAATTCTACGTAGTCACTGACCCATCCGACAAGGACGTGGTGAACCCAAAACCAGGCACTCTTCGTCACGCCGTAATCCAAAAGGAACCCTTATGGATCACCTTTAAACGCGACATGGTCATCAAATTAAAAGCAGAGCTGCTGATGAACTCTTTCAAAACCATCGACGGTCGGGGTGTGTCGGTCCACATAGCCGGCGGGCCTTGCATTACAATTCAGTATGTGACCAACATTATCATCCACGGCATCAACATTCACGACTGCAAGCAAGGTGGGAACACGTACGTTAGAGATTCGCCGGAGCATTATGGTTGGAGGACTCTGTCGGACGGCGATGGGGTTTCGATATTTGGAGGCAGCCATGTTTGGATCGACCATTGCTCTTTGTCGAATTGTCGTGATGGGCTGATTGATGCGATTCATGGGTCTACGGCCATCACTGTTTCCAACAATTACATGACCCACCATAACAAAGTTATGCTTTTAGGACACAGTGATTCGTATACTCAAGACAAGAACATGCAAGTCACCATTGCTTTCAACCATTTTGGTGAGGGCCTTGTTCAGAGAATGCCACGGTAAGTTCAAATTTAAAATAGCTTCATCTCGTGAATGCCACTGTGTGGGAAGTCATTGGGTTTTCCTTATTTTGGCAGATGCCGGCATGGGTACTTTCATGTGGTGAACAATGACTACACTCATTGGATAATGTACGCCATTGGTGGAAGTGCTTCCCCTACCATCAATAGCCAAGGGAACAGATACCTTGCTCCCAATAACCGAGATAGGAAAGAGGTCAGAATTTAGATTCCAATTATTTCTTCAAAACTTGATTACAAAAGAGAGTTTATGAACTTAAGTGGGTGATGGTTTCAGGTCACAAAGCGGGAGGATGCACCACAAAGCAAATGGAAGAATTGGAATTGGAGGTCAAGTGGAGATTTGATGTTGAATGGAGCATTCTTCACGAGATCGGGAGCTGGATCGTCGTCTAGCTACGCGAGGGCGTCGAGCTTGAGTGCGAAGTCGTCGTCGTTGGTGAGTACGATGACGGCGGGAGCAGGGGTGCTGCGGTGCCGAAAGGGGTCCCGGTGTTAGTCCAGCCACCCTGGGCAGTATATTGAAGATAAATTAGCAAGGAGAGATTTGGAGATCTTCTTGTATAGTAATTTTTACTTGGTCTTACTTGATTGGTCACAACTGAAAAGCTTCCTTTCTTTTTTTCTTTAAAGAAAAGAAAAAAGAAAAAGAAAAGGTTAAATTTCAGAGTGAGTGGGCCACCATTTGTAATTCTGTCCGATTACAATATAATATAAATATTACTATTTGAAAAGAAAAGAGGACTGTATTCCCTTTATAAACAGGAAGTCCCCCATGATTCCCAATAATTTATAACATAAGCCCACAATTCAAATTATGAACATTTTGATCGTTCATGTAATTATTAACCTTTTGATCCATGGTGTGGTACCGAATAAAGTACATAAAAAGACATCCACCAGTGATAGAATCTATGTAAATGAAATGAATGAGACATAGAGCGGAGAAAGTTGTTGATTATTGACGAATGCATAATTTTGTTTTATGCATATGTGATGAAAGCTTTTCATGATATAACTAAAAAGTTTAGAAGGAACGGCAAATTTAATATGTTCTTTAAACCAATGTAAAAGTAAACTGGTAAATAACCTAATAAAATGCA